AGATAAAGTGTGCCTATAGTTCAAATTAATCATCATATATCAATATGTTTTAAACCCTCCTTGGCCCTGATTATGTTTTTCTTTGTGTGTTTATATACAAAAATTGATGCTTGGATCAAGCAACACAAGTGATAGAGAAACCTAATGTGATTCAATGTAATGTGTAAACAAAATGTATCAAACTTTCTGCTTTAGTTTTTATATAAAGAGTGATATATTTGCAGATGTCAACATACTATTCTGATCCCCCCCCCCAAAAAAAAAAATCACCTTTTCACCAATAGTTAAAACCTAGTTCTCAGTAAATCAATTTTCTCATTTACACGAGCACTGTGTGCTTATCATATGTCAATTCTAAATGAGGACCTAACACTAAAATGTTAATGGCATTGTTAATTACTGCTCAAGTGTTTAACATTTTTACAATTTACCTTGTAAGTTCTGCCAAAATGTTTTCTCCCTCCATCTGCTTGCCATGGGCAAATGTTAATCACCATGTATAAGCCATGCCTTTGAGAATTAAAATTGTAGTTAAATATATTATGATCTTTCAGTTTACAGTTATTGTATAATTTAATACAATACTGTAGTAGGCCAGCTATACCCTTTTTAAAAATATTGGTGACTTTATTCATTGCACTGCCAGGTCCTGTGCTTCACTTTTAGCCATACCTTTTTTGCAATTGTGCACTTTTTTTCTTTAGTTACACTTTTACACTTAGAGATTTCAGAGTATAACAAAATGTGATCGCCCACCCAGGATTGCAAGGCACATGGTGCCTGCAGTGCGGTCCAGTGCGATCAAAATGCTGCATGCACTATTTTGATCGCACGCACCAGACCGGACCACAGGTACAATGTGCATTGCGACCCTGGGCGGGTGATCGCATTGCGGCCGGAGTACGTGGATAAGGCGCCATTCACTTCAATAGCCCGTCACGCCCCCTCCTGCCCCAGTAAAAAGTGAACCGGCCACAATGCGAGGCAGTGTGTTCTGGCCAGAATCGGGCCGGAACGCACTGCATCTAGTGTGAATGGGCCCTCAAGCGTGAGGAACCTTGTTGCCATGTGTCAATAGAAATGTTTCAACCTAGCTCAGTCTTCCAGACAAACATGTAAGATAATTTGGCAAATGGGCCTAATTGCAAAGTATATAATAGAGAGATCCCACCCCTCTGTCCACCCTTCCCTGTACACCAATGTTCAAAATAAGTCAGCAAGGTAAGCCCAGCCTCACAAGCCTTCAGGAGCATAAAACATGTTGTATGTGTCTAAAATGAAATAATTCTGACTGGAGCAAGATGGGTATGGGGAGAGATTAATTCACCATGTTCTCGCAACCTGTCCCACAGAGCCAATGAGTGGGACAGGGTAGGAGCCAGAATTACTGGTCTCTTTTGAGGTGACATCCATTTTAGCAAATCATTAGAAAAACCTGGGGGCAAGCACGATACCATAGAAACCAAGTGAGGGATAGTTCCAGAAAAGACAAATAAAGGGGAGTTGTGTTAACGGTGCAGTCCGATAGTAAAATAGTAAATTGGGAACCCCAAGGCCCCCATAACTTTTAGGTTTAAAAGGAATCAACTTGGGAAGTCTAGGACGCTTGTTAGCCCAAATACATTTAATAATGGAAGATTGGAATTTTAGGAGATAAATTAGTTGAACAGGAATTGGCAAGGCCCAAAAATAATATAGACTTTTTGGGAACAAAGTAATTTTGATGGTGTTATTGCGAACCAGTCAAGATAAATTGCAATACCCTGTTCATACCATCACTAAGCATTTTAAATAATGGGGAATAATTAACAAAATGTAAGTGAGAGAAATAAGATGTGAGCTTGATTCCTAAGTATTTAGGGGAATCAGTCTGCCATTCAAAGGGAAAAGAACTGATGAGACGAGAACCCAAGTCAGGAGAAATATTGATATTAAGTGCTACAGATTTGGAAGCAATGACTCGGAGACCAGAAACTAGTGCAAACTTTTCAAGTACATTTAAAATATTGGGTAATGAAGTTAAATTGGGTAATGAAGTTATGGGTAATGAAGTAAATAAGGCATATTTATGTTACCTGGAACCACAACAAACTCCCCAAATAACAGGACTATCCCGAAGTAATATGGCAAGGGGTTTGATTGCAATAGCGAAGAGTAATATCGAAAGGGGACCCCATTGTCTGGTACCCTTGTGTATAGAGAGAGGTTTTGAAAGGTACCCTTGCATTGGGATCCGTGTCGTAGGCAAAGAATAGAGTACACTTAATATATGTAAAAAATAAGGACCAAATCCTCAATGTTAAAGCAGCGGAAACAAGTATTGCCAGGAAGCCAAGTCAAATGCTTTTTGCAAATCTTTTTATGAGGGGGTAAGTAGAGATATGGACGGAGGTAAGCCGGTAGATGTGGTATATCTGGATTTCTCAAAGGCTTTTGATAACATCCCCGTCTGGGAGGGAGCCCCATCCCAGGACGATTGGAGTGGAGAAATAAGATCAACAGCCCTCCTGACCTGATCTGGCCCTCGCCTACCTGTTATAAACCCCACCTGATCATGATGGACATAAGCATGTAGGAAAGCGTTTAACCTATTGGCCAACTTTTTTGTCGAGAATTTGAGGTAGTTGTTTATTAAAGATATCGGTCTGTAATTAGAGAACCACTTCAGGGTCTTTGTAAGGCTTTGGAATAACACATAAGAAGGCTCTGTTCAGGTCCGAGTCTAGGGAGGCCCCCTAAATGTATTGAATCATAGAAAGTTTCCAGATGAGGAGCCAGGTTATCAAAACTTTTTTTATAATAAGAAGCTGAAAAGTCATCAGGGCCCGGAGCTAAAGCAGGTTTTCCCAATTTAATAGCAAGTTTTATTTCTGATAAAGAAATTGGTTCCTTTAAGGTTTGTCTATGAGCTTTAGCTAAGGAGGGAATAGAGAGTTTATCAAGAAATGCTTTTATCGGTTCTGTGGAGTTCGGGGAGAGTTCACTATGAAGATTGGATAAAAAATATGAATTTCCCGAAGGACATTTTTTGGAGACGAGATGGGCAAGGGGTAAGTGTATGTGCTTGAGTCAAATATTGCAGTTTGCTATCAAGGTCAGCCATATGTTTAGAGGCTCGCAGTTTAGAAGTCTAGTAGCAATTTCAATGAGGAAGCCACATAAAGTCACCTTGTTGGCAGCCCACACCATGCCTGGAGACATAGTTGGACAGGCATTAAGGGAGAAGTAGGTTTCCAAATGAGATTGTATCTCGCTGCTCACCATGGTGTTACTCAACAGGGATTAATTTAATCTCCAGCAAAAATACCTATCTGGGTCCCTAAGATGAGAGAGAGACATTGTGACCATGGGATGTTCTGACCAAGCAATATCCCTGATGTTAGATGAAGTAATTAAAGGAGTCAGGAGTCAATGAAGAGGAAACAAAAATGTGATCTATGCTAGCATAGGTCAAGTGTGCACGGGAGTAATGGGTATAGTCTTTTGCTGCTGGATTTAATTCCCTCCATATATCTATTAGGGAATGAGAACGTAAAATTCTTGCTAAGATCGTCCCAGCTTTTGGAGGGTGCCTGGTGTTGCATTTCACTGAACAAGTCTTATCTAAACTAGGGTCCAAAGCTAAGTAGGAACCTCCTGCACAAACTATCATGCCTTCTAAGTGAGGCAAGAGAGCAGCTATCATGGATGATAAAAAGGTAACCTGGGCAGTATTGGGGGCATAATAAGATGTAAATGTGAAGAGGTGGTCCTCGATGCAACCTTTAAGTAGCAGATACCGGCCTTCTGGGTCCATAATCTCCAGGGAGGAATGAAAGGAAACATTTTTAGAGAAACAAATCACCACACCCAGGGTCCGCCATGTAACTATGGTAGTGCTACAGTGCAAAATAACAGACTTCCTAATTATGTTTATTTAGGATTTGTTTGTCCCTTCTCCAAACCTTAAACTGGCTGGGTACATGAATTCAACCCAAACCCGAAGTTCATCCCTAATTATAAACCTTTCATTGGAGAAAAGCCTCTGGGGATACTAAAATTCTTGACACAACATAATGTAACATGACATAATGTAATATCTTATGATCATATAATCCAGGCCAGTGACTGTCTAATTCTACCGTATACCTGTTACCTGCCAACCTATCTGTAACTGTGCATTGAGGCAGCTCAGTAATTTTTAGTGGGCTGCCGACAAACTCTCCAAAAATCAGATAGGATTTTGTTTGTGTGTTTAGTTATGTGTTGTTGCAACATATATTGTGAAGCCAACATTAAACCTGAAGTCACTGACCTGGAATAGGATGCAGAAAGTGGAATCAGAGAGAAGTCAGAACTCCTAATGTTCATATTTGGTTAGGATCAGTGACTGAGGGATTAGTGAATACATGAAAATAGGGTGGCAGCTAGACACCTAGCATTTTCATAAGGGGACATTAACAATGCCAGCATTCATATTACCAACTGTTTTTCTTTCAGCTTCCCTGATCCCCTTATCTATATATATAAAGTCCTTAACTTAAAGTTGATCAGAATTTATTGGTAGACTTGCATTTAGAGAAAGAACAGCAAGGCATCAACCCTTTGCAGCAGCCCTAACTAAAAAAAAGAAAGTCTGCATATGTAATAAGCAAGTATAGCTGCTTCCATATACATTTATAATTGTAAACTACACACTGCAACACAATTTGTAACCTTTTATACACTTTAGTAACACTGTATGCATTAATCTGCAATCTGTGTTAAATAATCTTACTCAAATGTCTTCAAGATTTTAACAACTTTACATATACAGAAGTATTTTCTTGGCTAATTAAAACTCCATAATGGTACTTGTACTGGCACAAAACAGGTGGTAGCAACAAGCAGTCATGAATCTAACTTCCCCTGATTTCACCTGAATGCTTCCTTATTCCTGTGTATGTTTAGTTATATGCTGGAAACATGCTGTTCCTGATTCTAATCCAGATTTAATGTTACTCTTCTGATTTGTTTTTCAGCCGCCTATGTCTATTCAGACCTTTGGTGTTAAAATAGAATGCAGGAATTTAAAAGATGGAAGTGTTATTATCCATGTAGTACGAGTAGTTGTAAGAGACAGGAATGACAACTCACCTAATTTTATGCAAAAGAGTTACTACACAACCATCAATGAGGTAAGACAGTTGATTCTGTTGTGTAGATTGTATCATTCATTATGCGTAATCTTTGCTATATATGAAATACTGTATTTGCTGCACTTTATCACTGATACCTTACATTTAAAGAAGTAGGATTTTATTGCATTGCTTTAAAATGCTAGTCAGATTGTACTGACAGTATATGGGCATTCTGGACTTTTGATACCCAAGGATTTTCTACCTAAAAGCACCTCCATTCTTTCCCCCCAAATCTTATCTTCTAATTATCTATATCTTTTCTTCCACTGTTTTTAAACAATTTATACTGTATGTATCAATTACATTATTTTGGGTTGTTTGTTAGGTCCACTCTGTATTACCCCATAGAAGGCTTATTCAATAACAAATGTTTATTTAATACAGTAAAGTACATAAACCAATGACAATTAATCAATAATTTCATTTATAATACTGAAATGAGTATAGTTAATCAGCAAATCAGCCTGGGGTCAGTTTGTTGGCCATTTATCAAAACCATTGTAAAATCCCAAAATTGAGAATTTTAAACCTCATTAAACCCCCATGGGGTTCCTGCAGGTGAATCTTGAAATTCAATTAAGCCAATTTTCAAAACATATAGGCAAGGGGTTGTCAAAGGGCATGGAGAGCTGAGCATTGCCATGGAGGACATTTACCAGTGCAAGGAAAAAAGGGTTCTACTTTTTATGTAAGTTCAAGGACAACTTGGGAAAAAACCCAATCCTTTCGATTACATGCCTGGGAGCCATGCTTACCTTTAAGCTACATATGGAGCAATAGAGCAGTACACTTCTTAAAGTGTCAGCGACATTGTATTTTGGCTTTACATATTTTGCATGTGTAATATAATTTTTTTACTATTATACTTTTGCTTGGCTTAAATACAGCATCAGCAACACACCAATCTGTTTCATTATAACTTGAAACAAATAGCTTTTTCAAATGATTTTGAATGTGATACCTGACTTTTTATCCCATGGTAACAGGCCTTAATTGACTGTTTGAAATAGCAGCCACAACAGATCTAAAAGCTACATAAATTGTACTCTTAAAGAAATAAAGCCAAAGACTTTAATGTGCAAGTCATTTTTTTTAAATTGCTGACCAGCAATTACAGCAGCAAGACCATGAGTAAATACATGACTCTGCATCCCCTGCAGCATCTGCAGCCTTAAGCAATACGGAGAGAAGTTTCACAAGTAGTTTCAGAGTCTTACCTTAAGGCTGGGTTAACACCTGAGCTTATTTTTTCAGCTCGTTTTTTAGCTATTTTTTTTTGTCGAGGTTTTTATCACCTTTTTAGCAAATTTTTCTGTTCTGTAAAATGTGCGTTTCACTGGCGGTATGATTTTTTTCCCCTTTATTTTCTCTATTTTGAAAAAAAAAATATATTCTTTTAAAGTTTCACTTTTAAACTTCACGCCGGCTCCGCCCACCTGCGATGCGGCCGCTCATAAGGGACGGAACCCGGAAGTCGGCAGCCGCAGGAGGACACAGCGGGGATTGCGGACAAGGTAAGACCTGTACGCTGTATTCCCGAGTGTGGCTCGGGGTTACCGCTTTGTTAACCCTGATCCACACTCGGAAATACCAATGGAAACTCGCGGCAAAACGGTGTGTCTTCCACAGTTTCTAGAGCAGAAGAAAAAAAAAATGCTTAGCATCTCATTGCCTGTTGGCAAACCATCTGGCTTTACAGCACCTCCCACTCAATTTGGTGAAGATGGCCTGTGCTGCACCAAAGTGGGAGGTACCCAGTGACCATTTTTCCCTCCACCAGCATATGGAAGGTAATGTCTGTGTTGCTGGACCTCACAGGGTTGTTGCACCTCATTCATGGCTCACCAAATTTCCTGGCAGATGGAAAGGATGCAGAATGGGGCACATAACTGGAGCTAGAAGTGCTGCCCCATGCAATTCTACTTGGTGATAGTGACAGTGCAGTCACCTCTCCATCCTTTCCCTTAATGGCCTCATACAGTGATTCCTCAGAACCACCTGTCCCCGCTCAAGCACCCTGGAGTCTATAAAACAGCCAAGGCAAAGTGCTGCCATACTGTTTTGCAGGTGGTATGCCTGGAGAACAGAAGCCGCAGTGAACCAAATATTCTGGTAGCTGCACATGGGCAAACTGAGAGGTGGCTCACCCCATGCCATCATGTTTCAGGCAAGGTTGTGTGCGAAAATAATACCAACCTGTAGGTCACCTTTCAGCAGGAAAAGTTCAAACGCGTGCCTTGCCTGACCCAAGATCTAAAACTGGTGCAGTGGTTCTTGGTTAGATACGCTGGCTTTCAGCATGTCCTGTGGCAGGAAAGAAAATTTTGCGGCCACTGTATTTGGTCATACCCAGCACGTGTTCACCTGGAAGAAATGTGGCGGCAAAACACAAGTTGCCTTCCCTACTGCCTGATATATGATACACTCACACGCTGAAACTCAATATTGGCCATGCTACAACTGCTCCAGCAGCAGCAACTGTTGTGTCAGTGGTCCTTACCCTCCTTGTTTCAATGCTGGATCTGCTTCTATGGTGCATGGCTGTGTGGCCTTCCAGGTGATATCAGAGTGTCACAGCCACACCCAATCAGAGTACCTTCTGAGTACAGAGCAGAGTGTTGACCGCAAGAGATGGCGTTTTTCCTGTCATGACTGCATCAATCTTGGCAGTTCTTTGACTCTCATGGCCACCCCCAATCAGTCTTTCTCCTCTGTCTGGCACAATTAAACTTCGCTCAGCATCCAGATCCCTACCTGGGCTATGCTTCCATTAAACTAGCTGCCAAGCATCTAGTAAGCCTTTTTGCTTCCAGCTTGAATCCTTGTCCGTCGATTCCTGTCTGTCCATACTAACCTCTTCCTTTGTTTCCTGTTTATCCATGTCGGTTGCCTGCCCTGACCTCTGGCTTATTCCTGGTTATCCATCTCTGCTACCTACCCTGACATCTGGCTTGTACCCTGGCTATCTGAGTCCACAGCCAGCCCTGACCTCTGGACTCTTATCCACTGACCTATAACATTAATTTACTCTCACATAGGACCATCCTACTACTTTGGAAAGTTCTGAACCAGCTCCCAGGTCTTGTCCATTCCAGGGAGATAATGATCCAGTTCCCAGGTCTTACCTCTTCCAGTGTGATCGAATGTGGTTTCTACTCCCCACACCCTCTTACTTGTTCTGTAGTGTCTTCCCTGTTGCAAGACTGGCTGACAGCCTATGCTTCTCAGATATGTTTACTGCTTTTCCTCGGCTTTCCCTTATAGTGGAGGATCCTCACAATCACCAACCTAACAAATGAATATCTGTGCAAGTGTGGGATGAGAACAGGCTCCAGGGAACTGTATTTTTTACCACATTAGTAGCTTCTGATTTAGAGCACATGCAACATCTTGTCACCATTTGATGAAGCACCCAGAAACACTTGAATAATGAGGTGATGATTTGCAAAACAAGAGGAAAAGGAGTCTCGGGGTTCTGGTGGTGAGAAGGAGGGCTGTGGTGCAGGCAGTCAGGAGGAGCAGGAGGAAATATGTTAAGCTTTAAGGGGGACATTTCAATTGATACCAGTGGAAAATCAAACAGGGATCTACTTCATCCATCGAAGAGGAAGCACAAACGATGTGCAGGAAAGAAGCTCTTTGTTGCATTTCCTGATGGTAGATGGTTCCACCACCCTGTAGGCATAGGTGAAGGGTGGTTACCTAATTGGAAAAGGCTGGCCACCCTCCCTCAAGGTATCTTTGTTTTTACACATGTTGGTGAAACAGGCAAATTTGCCCTTTGTGTGTGGAACCTCATTGCATACTTGTGCACAACAGTGGTGTGCTCCAAAGCACCACTTATTTTGTCCCCCTGTTAGCCATAGCTGCCATTAGATTTATTCCAAAAAGGGAAAAGCAGGCTTAAATTCAGGAGCATTGGTTCTGTATGTGGAGGTAGTAATGTTTTTTGTTTTACAGTATGTAAAAGTTAGTGAAGGGTTAGGTAAGCATGCAATCATACACCCATAGGCTGCATGCCCTTCCCCAAATTTGACTGTACTGTTCAGCACTGGATAGGATAGAGCAAACTAGCTCTCCCTTATCCATCCCTAGCTACTCCAAATCTCCCCAGCACACACTAAGTGTAATTATGGCACTTTTAATCAACACTGTATAGGATGGAAAAATAATCTCTCCCGGCACACACTGTGATCTATCCCTATCCACTCCAAATGTTACCACCACACACTTACTATAAATATAGCACTTTTCAGCAGCACTGTGTAGGATGATGGAAACTAGCTCCCCCAGCAAATAGTCTGTCACCTGTTCCTATCTACAGGTGAAACTCGAATAATTAGAATATCGTGCAAAGTTCATTTATTTCACTAATGCAACTTAAAAGGTGATACTAATATATGAGATAGACTCATTACATGCAAAGCAATATAATTCAAGCCGTGATTTGTCATAATTGTGATGATTATGGCTTACAGCTCATGAAAACCCCAAGAACCCCAAATCCACAACCTCAAAAAGTAGATTATTTCATGCAATCAATAAAACAAGGATTGTACATCGAACAATATCGGACCTCTGAAAAGTACAAGCATGCATATGTACTCAGTACTTGGTTTGGGCCCCTTTTGCAGCACTTACTGCAATTACTTTTGCACGATATTCTAATTATTCGAGTTTCACCTGTATAGAGATGGGGTTGGTTGCTATAGGCGTGAACATTTGCATTAGTTTGCCATTTTCTCAAACTGCAAATGACTTGGGTTTTGGTCGAACTCATGTTCAACCCAAACCCAAAGCTCCTTTCTAGTTAGGACTACATTTTATCTCAAATGAATGCTTACTATACCAAATAACAGCCTAATTTCCATTTGGTTTAACATTTTAAGCAATAAATTACATTATTTTCTGTTTATTAGTTTAAACTGCCTACTGTGACTTGTATCAATATACAAGGCTCACACTCACTAACATCAGAAAATGATACTCAACTGCTA